AACAAGTCAAATCCATAGAAATCCAACCTCATAACTTGCAGGGCTTAAACATTCTGCTACTGATAGGTTGGTGCCAGATACCACAGCATACCTTCAGATGTCTAGAGGTGTCCATGCTGTGATGGGTCAGAGCCAGGCCCAGACTAGGACAAAAAAATAGGCCGTGCATTTTAGACCGAGCAGCCAATTTTTTTAGGGGGGTGGGCAAGGGCATTCGTGAGGGCAGTTGGTGATGGCATATTCATGCAGTCGGTCCTCCGCACTGTAATGTAAATTATCACTGTGATAAAAAGGGTACTGCACTGTAAAGGGGCACTGTATTGATTACAGTGCCCCTTTACAGCATAGTCCCCTTTATATCACAGTGCCTCTTTCCTTTACAGTACCCCCAATATATTCACCAAAGAGACATCCTCATCCAGCAAAGAGACATCCCACTCCAGCAAAGAGACATCCCCTTATAGCAAAGAGACAGCCCAGTCTTGCAAACAGACATCCCCATACAGAAAAGAGACAGTCCAATCCAGCAAAGAGACATCCGAATCCAGCAAAGAGACAGCCTGTCCAGAAAGAGACAGTCCGTCCAGCAAGGAGACATCTTGCCCAGCAAAGAGCCATCTTGTCCAGTAAAGAGACAGCCCATCCAGCAAAGAGACAGCCCATCCAGCAAAGAGACAGCCCATCCAGCAAAGGGATAGCCCAATCCACCCCTGCTACAAAGCAAGACTGTTTGGCTGTCAGAAGTGTGCCAGCCGGTGAGGGAGAGTGGCTGCTGTTGTTCCTTCAATGTGGTTGTGTGTGCAGCGGCAGGCCAAGGAGGTGTTTGTGTGTCCTCTGCGGCACTTCCTACTTGTTGCTGGAGCTGTCTCTGCCACTCCTACTGTCGGCCCTGCTTTAGACATAGCTGCATAGTGGGAGGTCTGTATTATCCCTGTCCAGACTGAGGTCTTTGCTTACCCTCCGCTGTGCAGCTGGTCATCAACAGGCTGCTTTTCTTAAACCTAGCGGCCACTGGGCAAATGCCTGGTGTGCCCTATAGTCAGTCCGGTCCTGGTCAAAGTTGTTTGGCAGCAAAAGGGGCTGTTTTGGTGGAAAAAAAGGGACCTACTCAATATTAAAGTAGGTCATCATAATGTTATTCCTCGATTGGTGTATATTGTTATTTGTGTCACTATTTAAGAAGGAGGCTTCTTTTTAGGGGGAATCACTCTTCCGGATAGAGAGATCAAAAGGAGACAGACTATTCTGAGCTATTCTTTTCCAATTTATTCTCAGATAAGTTCCCTAATCAAATTCTATAAAACCACCTTTTAAACAAAATAAATAAAAAAAAGCATCCACAATGAAAAATCCCCTAAAAGTAATAGCCTGACATATTTCCATGCCATTTACATGTGGAATGCAGACCTTAAATGTCCTTTCTTTGGCACTTAATACTTACGACATTTGCCCATCATCATCACACACATAGTCCTAGGACATCATTACATGTATACGTGTGCACAACATCATCACATGCACTATGCCACCATGCACATATGTGATATCATCACATACTGTATGTGCTAACAGTCCCATGTAGGTGCATCCCATTTTGTGTACCATTTTAACAAACAAATTTATCATACTCTTTTCTATTTACAGTAATTTTTCATCCTGAAAATGTTATGCTTTACAGAATCCAAAACATCCATAGAGTTTTACCACTCCCGTCACTTATCGATTTTTCATTCCACAGCAATGACATATTTAAGTTCCACAATTCTATTATCCTAATCCTTTCAGAATTACTATTTTACTATCTTTGTAATAATTCCATCATGTCTTACTTGATCAGACTTTTGTACAGGTATAGCTCTCTCCCTTTCCTCTTCAATGCTTTTTTACACACATGTATATATGCGAATAGCTTTTTTCCGCTTTTAAAAATATAACACATCAACTTTCTATTTATTTAAATAAGGGGGAGATATGTTAAGCCTTTTTTTAAACCTTTTGGGTTCAACAAGTCTAGATAAAAATCCATTTTGCCTCCATATGTAATAGCTTTGCATCCAGATCACCTTTTCTTGGGCCTAAATGGAGAGTCAAAATTATTAAAATGCACTTCTTACTTCACTAAATTAAATGGGAAGATTCTAAAAACAAAAATACAGAGGAAAAGTGGGAGCACTTTGAGAACATCTTAATTAATGGCATTAGCCAGTCTGTTCCAATAGGGAAAAAACATAAAAGAAATAAGTTTGAACCAAGGTGGATAAATTCAAATATAAAAAGGCACATGAAAGGGAAAGAAACTGTCCTTTAAACCACTTCAATACCAGGCACTTTCACCCCCTTCCTGCCCAGGACAATTTTTAGCTTTCAGCACTGGTGCACTTTACATGACAATTGCACGGTCATTCTTATGTACCCATAAGAAATTGTATCATTGTTTTCAAACAAATAGAGCTTTCTTTTGGTGGCATTTAATCATCACTGGGTTTTTTACTTTTAGCTGAATAAGCAAGACAGAACATTTTGAAAAAAAAATGCAGTTTTCATAGTTTTTGTTATAAATTTTATAACAGATATTATATTTTATTAAATATTTTATTTTGTTATTATTGTCAGTAGACAATTTTAGCTGCTATCCTATCCAAAGTAAACTTTTTTTTTTTCGCTGCAAAGCTTCCCTTTGAAAAAGAAAAAGCTTTTATTTCAGGGGTGATATTTTAATATCTTTTTGAATTTTGAAGGTATATGTTGATTGAATCTTAAAACAACATTTTTTTTCACAGCAAGGCTCGCATTTAATTTTATGTATTTTCAGGTTTTCATTTCTTTTGGCTTTTTTATGTTTGTTTTAATTTGATATGGACTTTGGGTTTTTCAAAGTGCACAATGTACTCATTATTGGTAATTTGCTCTTGAAGCTGTATCATTTAAAATAAATTCAAGTACAAGAATCACTTAAACCTAAAATTATATCACTCTTGTTCTCTGCAACCTCCCTACCCATAGATAAAATAAAAGATAGTTTTTTATAAACTGGTTATGACTCTTATCCCTGATTAAAACTGCCCTGCTGCTCACCAATTTTATACTGCTTATACTATAGACAAAGAGCACAGGATGGCACAAGAAATTAGATATTACGATTTGGGCCCAGATTTGCCATTTAAATTGTTCTGCTGATGATGTTTTTACACAGCTAAACTATCTCCGATCTCAACTGTTGTAGTAAAATATATGCCAGTACTTTTTTTCTCTAATACACTTCTGTCAATTCACTCTCAAGAAAAATATCCTGCTCCTGGCCAATTTTACACTGTTGTATCATCTGTGATCTCTTGATAGTTTGATAATAATTGGCTAGCCTCAGAGAACTACTGGCCAGTTTATATCTGCCCATCAAAACAGATCGATTAGCACTTATGAAAAAGCATATATCACTGCTAAAACTACCTAAAAAGCCTTTCAAACTGAAATTAATCAGATTGGAGTGATGCCGTATGTAAGCCATCTAAATGTAAAGGAAAAAATATATGCACTCCCAGTGTACAGTGTCACTGAGACTGTCCGTGAAAATTATACTGTTCTGGAGGGGGCACATGTACAAAGCCAAGGAAGATGGTAGCTTATATCTTCCTAGCTCCGTGCCACCAGAACCTTACACACGGTGGATCAGGTGAGCATCTACAGCTATCAACCTCATACCCACCTGTGGAACTGTGGGAAGATTAAGTCTACCTGAGGGTATGCATCATACCCCAAAATACAAGCAGAAACACCGGGCTCAGCAGATGGCTTTTCCTGCCCCATGGTCAGGCAAGATAGTGCCAGAGTCTCCAGAGCCAGATGACACCAAGTGCCTTTCGGCTGCTGACCCGACATCTCAATATGATAGCCAGCTGCAATTCCCATCTGACATAGGGAGCCCACATGAACATAACTGTCAGGGGTCCAGGGTATGACCAGAGGTATGTGACTGACGCAAGGAAATGCAGGCTTCAGATAAGTTATAAACAATATAATTTATTCAAGACTAACAATACAAACATAAACACAGTGCAATACTAAAACATAACACAGTGCAAACGAACCAAACCAAACCACCCACAGATAACAATACATACAATGCAAGCGTCGTCAGGCAGGCCGGGTCAATAACAAACGGGCAGGTAGGAACAGGAGGAGCAGGCAGAGAGTAGTCAGGTCACGAACCGGGTACAGCAACTAACAGGCAGGTAGGTACAGGGGGTCAGACAGAGAATGGTCGGGGTCACAAGCCAGGGATCAGAACAGGAGAAGTCAGCAGAGGTCCAGATCAAGCAGGGTCAGCAACAAGACAGGAACAGGAACAGGATGCAGGAACAAGATACAGGGCCCAGGAAAAACACACACACCAAGGCAGAGTCTGCAGGTCTGGCCATCCCTTAAATATACCTGCATAAGCAGTTTCAGGTGTTTGGCTGGCTGCAGGGTTGAGTCTCTGATTGCTGGGAGCACCCGCTGGCCAGCCCTGGTACTGCAGCCCATAAGGCAGGTGAGTCCCACCATTGCTGGCCAGTCCATTCCTGACAGTGCCCCCCCCTCAAGGAGCGGCCTCAGGACGCTCCAAACAGTCCTAGCTGGGCAAAATGTTCCACCGCCCAGGTCTGGTAACTTGGGGGATATCAAAGACTGGCACACCGGGCAGGACTCCGGGCAGCAGGACTCCGGGCAGTGGCACACCGGGCAGAGGCACATCGGGCAGAGGCACATCGGGCAGCGGCACATCGGGCAGCAGCACATCGGGCAGGACTGCGGGCAGAGGCACATCGGGCTGGACTCCGGGCAGAGGCACATCGGGCTGGACTCCGGGCAGAGGCACATCGGGCTGGACTCCGAATCACCAGGTGGAGCAGCGGGCCCTGGGCCACCAGGCGGAGCGGCGGGCGCCAGGCCCCCAGGCGGAGCGGCGGGCTCCGGGCCCCCAGGCGGGGCGACAGGTGCCGGGCCCCCAGGCAGAGCTGCGGGCGCCGGGCCCCCAGGCGGAGCGCCGGGCGCCGGGCCCCCAGGAGGGGCAACAGGCATCGGACCCCCAGGCGGAGCGGCGGGCACCGGACCCCCAGGCGGAGCGGCGGGCGCCGGACCCCCAGGCGGAGCAACAGGTCTCGGGCCCCCAGGTGGAGCGACAGGTCTTGGGCCCCAGGCGGAGCGGCGGGCGCCGGACCTCCAGGCGGAGCGACAGGTCTCGGGCCCCCAGGCGGAGCGGCGGGCGCCGGACCCCCAGGTGGAGCGACAGGTCTCGGGCCCCCAGGCGGAGTGGCGGGCGCCGGACCCCCAGGCGGAGCGGCGGGCGCCGGACCCCCAGGCGGAGCGACAGGTCTCGGGCCCCCAGGCGGAGCGGCGGGCGCCAGACCCCCAGGCGGAGCGACAGGTCTCGGGCCCCCAGGCGGAGCGGCGGGCGCCGGACCTCCAGACAGAGCGACAGTTCTCGGGCCCCAGGCGGAGCGACAGGCACCGAGTCACCAGGCACGATAGTGGGCTCCGAGTCAACTGGCATGACCACGGGCACTGGGTCAGACATTGGATAGTCCTGGCTGGACAGCGGGCATCGGGTCACCAGGCATCAGGTCATTTGGCTCGACAGCGGGCACCGAATCATCTGGCAAGGCAGTGGGCACCGAGTCACCAGGCACGACAGTGGGCTCTGAGTCAATTGGCATGACCGCGTCATCTGGCACCGAGTCACCAGGCACGACAGTGGGCTCCGAGTCAACTGGCAAGACTGCGGGCACCGAGTCGTCTGGCAAGACTGCGGGCACCGAGTCAACTGGCGGAACAGCGGGCATCGAGTCACCTGGTAAGACTGCGGGCACCGAGTCGTCTGGCAAGATCGCGGGCTCCGAGTCGTCTGGCAAGACTGCGGGCACCGAGTCGTCTGGCAAGACTGCGGGCACCGAGTCGTCTGGCGGAACAGCGGGCACCGAGTCAACTGGCGGAACAGCGGGCACCGAGTCGTCTGGCAAGACTGCGGGCACCGAGTCGTCTGGCAAAATCGCGGGCTCCGAGTCGTCTGGCAAGACTGCGGGCACCAGTTGTCTGGCAAGACTGCGGGCTCCGAGTCGTCTGGCAAGACTGCGGGCCCCCGAGTCGTCTGGCAAGACTGCGGGCTCCGAGTCAACTGGTGGAACAGTGGGCTTCGAGTCGTCTGGCAAGACTGCGGGCACTGAGTCGTCTGGCAAGGCTGCGGGCACCGAGTCAACTGGCGGAACATTGGGCATCGAGTCACCTGGTAAGACTGCGGGCACCGAGTCGTCTGGCAAGATCGCGGGCTCCGAGTCGTCTGGCAAGACTGCGGGCACCGAGTCGTCTGGCAAGACTGCGGGCACCGAGTCGTCTGGCAAGACTGCGGGCACTGAGTCGTCTGGCAAGACTGCGGGCACCGAGTCGCCTGGCAAGACTGCGGGCACCGAGTCAACTGGTGGAACAGTGGGCATCGAGTCATCTGGTAAGACTGCGGGCACCGAGTTGTCTGGCAAGACTGCGGGCACCGAGTCGTCTGGCAAGACTGCGGGCACCGAGTCATCTGGCAAGACTGCGGGCATCGAGTCAACTGGCGGAACAGCGGGCACCGAGTCGTCTGGCAAGACTGTGGGCACCGAGTCGTCTGGCAAGATCGCGGGCTCCGAGTCGTCTGGCAAGACTTCGGGCACCGAGTCGTCTGGCAAGACTGCGGGCACCGGGTCGTCTGGCAAGACTGCGGGCACCGAGTCAACTGGCGGAACAGCGGGCATCGAGTCACCTGGCATGATAGGATCATCAGGCTGCATCAGTTCATCAGGCCGGATCAGTTCATCAGGCTGGGTACAGACATCAGGCTGGATCAGTTCATCAGGCTGGGTACAGACATCAGGCTGGGTACAGACATCAGGCTGGGTACAGACATCAGGCTGAAGTGCGGGCGCCGAGGCACCAGGCTGAACCACGGAAGGCAGGTTCTCAGACGGCAGGCTCACCGGTTTGGATACTGGCAGGATGGTATTGGTTGGAAAGAATTTTCGCTTTTTTCTGGTTTTAACTACTGGAGCACTGCAAGTAAACGCAGGTCTGCAAACGAATGGAGCAGCTGGAGACAGAGAAGAGCTGGAGGATGGAACAGGGGAGGGAACAGTTGCTACAGAGGGCTTCTTTACAGGGTTAAAGGCAGGATACGTGCAGCGAGTGGGAACAGGGTACTGACATGCGGTAGATAGCCAAGTATACTGGGCTGTAACTGGAGGTGCTGTTGGGAATGCAGGAATAGAGCTTTGAGGAAATAGATTAGAAGCAGGACTGGGTTTTTGTAAGCTGACTGAGGCTGGGTGTAACAAATCTGTCCATGTCTGCAGTATGGGTTTGAACAAAGCTGAGCTTACACAAAGCCTGTCTGACCAAAGACTGCACTGCGTTTATACAATCCCTTAATACCTGTGGTGAACATGCAGAATAACGCTCCAGAAAGTAATCCACATCATCCTCTAATAACCATACCAGGGACTCTACCTGGTCTGCACTAAATGGTGGCAAAAATTCATCCCTGCATTCGGGGGTACCAGATGAAACCAACTCAGCACAAACCTGAATCAATGGCTGCACCTCAGAGAATTCTGTGCCCTGATCTACTAGAACATGAGCGATCCGTATACATTCTAGCAGTTGATCCCGGGTATACTCCTTCAGAGTTTGATAAGCATACTCTCTGTCATCAAACACTAGCAGAGATAAATACACCACCTCATCCAAATCCATCCTTCCCAGCAACAAGCCAAGATGGCTTCCCTGTGCAGCCACTTCTGGTCAGGATGGGCCTTGGTGTAATGTCAGGGGTCCAGGGTATGACCAGAGGTATGTGACTGACGCAGGGAAATGCAGGCTTCAAATAAGTTATAAACAATATAATTTATTCAAGACTTACAATACAAACATAAACGCAGTGCAATACTAAAACATAACACAGTGCAAACGAACCAAACCACACCCACAGATAACAATACATACAATGCAAGCGTCGTCAGGCAGGCGGGTCAATAACAAACGGGCAGGTAGGAACAGGAGGAGCAGGCAGAGAATAGTCAGGTCACGAGCCGGGTACAGCAACTAACAGGCAGGTAGGTACAGGGGGGTCAGACAGAGAATGGTCGGGGTCACAAGCCAGGGATCAGAACAGGAGAAGTCAGCAGAGGTCCAGATCAAGCAGGGTCAGCAACAAGACAGGAACAGGAACAGGATGCAGGAACAAGATACAGGGCCCAGGAAAAACACACACACCAAGGCAGAGTCTGCAGGTCTGGCCATCCCTTAAATACACCTGCATAAGCAGTTTCAGGTGTTTGGCTGGCTGCAGGGTTGAGTCTCTGATTGCTGGGAGCACCCGCTGGCCAGCCTTGTACTGCAGCCCATAAGGCAGGTGAGTCCCACCATTGCTGGCCAGTCCATTCCTGACAATAACTTCAAAGTATATGCTCCACAAGTTTCATTCTATTGTGCATGAGGAGATCACTACGGCCTCCCACAAGCTACAGTTGCAAGAAAAAGTATGTGAACCCCTTGGGATTACGTGGAGTTTTGCATGAATTGGGCATAAAATGTGCTCTGAACGTCATCTAAGTCACAACAATAGAAGAACACAGTCTACTGAACATAATACTACACAAACATTAGATGTTGCCGTGGTTTAATTGCACATAAAAACGTAAACATTCACAGTGCAGGGAGGAAAAAGTATGTGAGGCCCTAGCTTAATGACTTCTCCCAGAGCTAATTGGAGCCAAGAGTGAGCCAACCTTGACTCCAATCAGTGTGATGATATTGGATGTGTTGCTGACAGCTGTCCTGCCCTTAAAAAAACACACACCTGTTTTGGGTTTACTGGTTTCAAGAAGCACTGTGTGATGTGAACCATGCCTCGCAGGAAAGAGCTCTCAGAAGACCTATGATCAAGAATTGTTGACTTGCATGAAGCTGGAAAGGGTTACAAAAGTATCTCCAAAAGCCTTGATGTTCATGTATCCACGGTAAGACAGACTGTCTACAAATGGAGAAAGTTTAGCACTGTTGCTACTCTCCCTAGGTGTGGTCGTCCTGTAAAAATGACTGCAAGAGCACAGCACAGAATGCTGCATGAGGTAAAGAAGAATCCCAGAGTGTCAGCTAAAGACCTACAGAAATCTCTGGCACATGCTAACATTTTTTGTTGACACATCTACAATAAGGAAAACATTAAACAAGAATGGAGTACATGGGAGGACACCACGGAGGAAGCCATTGCTGTCCAAAAAGAATATTGCAGCACGTTTGAAGTTTGCAAAAGAGCACCTGGATGTTCCACAGCACTACTGGCAAAATATACTGTGGACAGATGAAACCAAGATTGAGTTGTTTGGGAAGAACACACAACACTATGTGTGGAGAAAAAAAGGCACAGCACACCAACATCAAAAACCTCATCTCCACTGTGAAACATGGCGGAGGGAGCATCATGGTTTGGGGCTGCTTTGCTGCCTCAGGGCCTGGACGGATTGTTGTCATTGATGGGAAAATGAATTCCAGAGTTTATAAAGACATTTTGCAGGAAAACATACGACCATCTGTCCGCCAACTGAAGCTCCGCAGAGGATGGGTGATGCAACAGGACAATGACCCAAAGCATACAAGTCATTCAACAAAACAATGGCTGCAACAGCACAGAATACGCCTTCTGGAGTGGCCCAGTCAGAGTCCTGACCTCAACCCGATTGAAATGCTGTGGCATGACCTTAAGAGGGCGATTCACACCAGACATCCCAAGAATATTGCTACACTGAAACAGTTTTGTGAAGAGGAGTGGTCCAAAATTACTCCAGATCGTTGTGCAGGTCTGATCTGCAACTGCAGGAAATGTTTGGTTGAGGTTATTGCTGCCAAAAGGAGGGTCAACCAGTTATTAAGTCCAAAGGTTCACATACTTTTTTCCTCCCTGCACTGTGAATGTTTACATGTTATGTGCAATTAAACCATGGCAACATCTAATGTTTGTGTAGTATTATGTTCAGCAGACTGTGTTCTTCTATTGTTGTGACTTAGATGACGTTCAGAGCACATTTTATGCCCAATTCATGCAAAACTCCACGTAATCCCAAGGGGTTCACATACTTTTTCTTGCAACTGTATATTCTGAGCTGTTGAAAGGCCTCAAAGAATTGGGACACTGCATTAACCAGCCAGAACAATGCATGGACTTGGCTTCTACCATGCTAGAGGGGCACAAAGAGGAGCTTGATAAATTGAATGCTAAATTGGAAGCATTATGCAATAAGCTTGAGGACGCTGAGTATAGGGTCCACAGAGATAACCTCCACATCCACAGGGTTTCCAAATCCATTACCGACCTACAAGGTACAGCCGCTGCCTTCTTTTTGGAGCTAGCCCCGGAACTTCCCCTGAAATGCTTAGAATTTGACCGCATTCATAGGGCTCTTGCACCCAAGCCATCAGAAGCCCCCTCCCCAGGGACATTATTACCAAATTTCACTACTATCGTACCAAAGAGAGGCTTCT